CTGGGAGGCTTGTGCAAACCTCAGGGCTTCTTGCAACAGCCTCACTTCTGCCCGGGTGCACAAGGCCCCGACTCAGCAGTGAGAGGCCCAGGGGGGCTGGGGCGGCAGGACAGGGTGCAGGGAGTGGGACCAGGGGAAGTGTGTGAGTCTCTTCCTTATTGGATTCTCTCTCTGTCTCAGCTTCCGCTTTTCTTTGTGGACAGATTTGCTGACGCCTGACACCAGGAGTCAGAGTGGCTGGGTCACCAACCCCCAACCACACAGGGTCTGATGCTCACTACTGTGTCTAACCCCTTCTTCTTCTTCTTTATTTTTAATTTTATTTATTTATTTTTTGAGACAAGGTTTTGCTATGTTGCCCGGGCTGGCCGCAAAACTCCTAGGCACGAGTGATCCTCCTGCCTCAGCCTCCTGAGTAGCTGGGATACAGGTGTCCACCACCTCGCCCCACTCAGCCCCATGCTTTTTTTTGGTTCTGGGTATTGAGCCCAGGGTGCTCAACCAGTGAGCCTGAGCCCCAGCCCTTTCTATTTTTTGAGATAGGGCCTCGCTAAGTTGCTGAGGCTGCCCTTGAACTTACGATCCTCCTGCCTCAGTCTCCTGAGCCACTGGGTTTACAGGCACTTACCACCATGCCCAGCTCAGCCCCATGCTTTTTAAAAGATAAGAAAACAGGCCCAGGCTGGGGAAGAGGCTGCTCCGAGGTCCACAGGGGGATGGTGGTGAAGCATGGACTGGAAGCAAGGGCTCTGGCCCAGAAGCGCCCCTCAGCCCTGCGGCTGGCAAGACCAAGTTCCCATGCCTCAGCCTGCTACCCCAGGCTGTCCCCAGTCAGGCTCTGTGGTCCCTCTGCACCTCACACACTGATACTCCCTGCTGCGGGCCTCTGCACGGGCTGACTCCTTGGCCAGGATGACACTTCTTCCCTTGCTCTGGGTGAATTTTCCTACCCCTTTGGGGTTTAGTGCAGGCACTGCCTCTCCAGGAAGTGGGGGCAAGTCAGGGCCCTCTTCCCCAGACTGAGAACATGACTGTGAAAGTTAAAATATTTTTTTGCTGCTGGGAATGGAATCCAGGGCCTTGCACATATTGGGCAAGAACTCTACCGCTTAGCTACATCCCCAGCCTGTAATGGTTAATTCTATGTGGCTAAGCTGTGGTGCTCGGTTGTTTGGTCAAATTCATCTAGATGTCGCCATAAGGATTGGGGGGTTTTAGCACAGTGGTAGAATGATTGCCTAGCATGGGCAAGGCCCTGGGTTCATCCTCAGCACTGGAAAGAAAAAAAAAAAAAAGACCAGGTAGATGTTGTTGTAAAAGTATTTTGTAGATGTGATTAACATCTACTTTATAAAGTAAAGCAGTAACCTCCCATAATGTGGGTGGGCCTCATCCAATCAGTTGAAGGGAAGGCCTTAGGATAAAAAAAACATTGCTGTTTCCCAGAGAAGTATTTCTGCCTCAAGACTAACATACAAATACTGCCTGAGTTTCCAGTCTGCTGGCCTGCTCTACAGATTTTGGACTTGCCAGCCCCCACAATTGCATGAGCCAAGTTCTTAAAATAATTTTTTCTGTATACACACTCTCACACACTACTGGCTCTATTTCTCTGGAGAGTGCTGACTGGTACAATCATGTTGATTCAAAATCATATCTGTTCACAGGTCCTCTCCACAATGCAGACAGTGACCACAGGGGCACAGAGAAGGTCTAGCAAGGGAATGCTGAGAGAAAGAAACCAGAGTGGGGAAGAGGAAAGGGATGGAGGAAGCTGTCAGTCACCAAAGGACCAAGAGTGAATGAATGAATGAATGAGACCTAGAGGGCCCTCTCCATGCTAAGTGGTGTGCTGCCTCTGATCTGAAGTCACTTCAGAAGCCAGGGGCCCTGGATCCTCCCACCTGACAGTCCATGCACCTGAGTAGACATGTCATTTTCTTTACTGTAAAGGAGGGACCCCTGGCTCTCCCATGGCAGGACAGTGGTCTCACTGAAGACCCTTTGCCTGAGCTACCGTGGCAGCGTACCCTCAAGGCTGGTCTTGGAATCTTCACCACACGGCTGGAAGGAGCTTTGGGGACCCTCTTGTCCAATGCGGTCGTTTTAAAGACATGGAAACAGAGGCCCCAAAGCCACAGTCCCAGCATAGGAACTCTTGACCCTAGCACATTTATTTTATTCCATCTGTGCCAAACATGGCGGCCCTGTCCCACTCGGCCTCCCCGGCCAGGGTGTTCACCTTCTGTGATCTAGGGGCTCTGAGCGGGGCCTGGTGGCAGGTGGGGAGTGAGGGTCCCCGCCATTCAGCCCTCCTGGAGGAAGTATCTTGGGCTCTCAGGAGTTTCACCGCATAGCTGCGCCTTGCCCCTACCTGCTAAAGCAGTCCCCCAGGGAGAGAGGAGGGAGAAAGCACCATTCCACCCTGTCCCTGATGCCGCCGCCACCACTTTCCATCAGGCTTGCAGTCAAGGCTAAACACTCCACCAAGGACCTAGGCAAACTTGCTTGGCTGATCCCCGCCCTCATGGCCACTTCACAGCGAGCTGCTTGCCCCCTGCCCTTCATGCTCCAGCCATGAGAGCTTTTAACATTCCTTGCCTGCCTGGGGCCTTTGCACATGCTTGGAATGCTCTTCCTCCTTCCTCATCCTTGTGCTTTCAACTCGGGTATCACAACAGGTCCCCCAAGTTCTCGGTAGCTTCAGGTTTAATATTTTCTTTTCTTGGATGTCATGATTTTTTAATGATTGGTTTACTGATTTGTTGGTACAACTACTTGCTTAATATCTGGCATTCCAGTGAGAGGATGGCTCCCCAAGGGTAGAGGCCCTGTGTATTTTGCTCACCTCTGCATCCCTAGCAGGGTACACATAGAGACTGAAATGCTGCCCTTTTGAGAATACCCATACTCAAGGGCAAAGGAAAAAAAAAAAAAAAGAGGCCCCTTGCTGAGCCCAGCTTTGGAAAGCAGCCAGATAGAAATCATCCGGTCTGGACTTCCTTTCCCTGAGCTTCAGTCTGGGTTCCTGTTTCCAGGGGGAGGACAGCAGGCCTTGTGTTTCTGCAAGTCTCCTAGCCCCTTCTCCAATTCCAGAAGCAATAAGCATGTCTGTCTCCCAAATGAGGACGCTATCCCGGACCCAAGAATCACCAGCTTAAAAATGCAACAAGGGAAAAAATGAACAAAACTTTGGTTCACAAGTTCAAGGGACAGAGATAAGAATCACAAACGAAGGAACAACATGAACATCTTTGGGGCCTGGTTCAGGCCCTTTGAGGAGCACATGATATTTCTAGTCCTCTGAGCAGTCCCTTGGGGGTGGGAAGCATCACTGCCATCTTACAGATGTGGAACCTGACGCAGTCCCCAGAAGCAGGGTGGGCAGGGCCCCCACCGGGTCTGCCCAGGGCCAAGGCCCAGTGCTCTCCCCTGCACCAGCTCTTGGTGGGCATGGACTTTCTGGGTCACGTCTTCCTCCTCTGTCAAGCTCAGTGCAGACCCAGGAGATCTCCATGGCTTCCCTTCCTCCTCACCAAGCTCATCGCGGGTCCCTCCCTCGCTGAGCCCTCCGCCTTCTCCATCCTGTCTTCCTCTCCCTCCATTCCTCCCCTCTTCCGTTTCCGTGGCAACCCCATCCTCCGCTCTGCCACTCGGTCCTGCGTTCCCATCTCATCTCTTTCTTTCCTCTTTCATCTCTCCCCTCTTCGCAGTGCAGAGTCCAAATCACCCTGTGTCCTTTGCTTCTGGCCTCTAGCTGCCTTTTACTCTCCTTTTATCTCCTTCAATGTTCTCTTGTCGTCTCAGGGCGACATTTATTTATCTCTTAAAAATAAAAATGAAAAAAGAAAGGAAGGGTAAAGAAACCCCATTCCATCAGCCCTGGCTCCCCCACTTCAGTCCCCATCTCCTTTCTCTTGAGTCTTCTCTAAGGGTCAGAGTTTCCACAGTTACAGAGAGGAAGGAGCTCGCAGAAGGGACCCCCTGCCTGCCTCAATGAGGGCTCCTTATTGACCTCACCTGTGAAGGCAGAGAGCATGCGGGCAGGAGGCTGGGCAGGGGAAGGCTCACTGGGGAGGCACCCTAGGGAGTGGCTCTGCTTCCTAGAGATGGGGTGAGGGCAGAAGCCAGAGCCCCCTCTCAGGACAGAGCAAGGACAGAACCTACAGCATGGTGTAAGCCAGTCCTGGAAGCCCCCCATGACGCTGCCTGAGGCAGGAACTCACTGCCATCCAGGGAAACCCCAACTACACAACTGTCTCATGGCACCTCTTTGAGGCCCATCTTGCTTTGTGGGACTGAGACACAGGGCATGGCCCCAGGCAAGGCTCTCAGCAAATCCTCAGAGTCCCCCCAGTTCCCAGAGTGGTGGGAATCATCAATTCTTCAAAATCCACTCTTCAGGCCGCGCATGGTGGTGCCCGCCTGTAATTCCAGCAGCTTGGGAGGCTGAGGCAGGAGGATTGAAAGTTCAAAGCCAGCCCTAGCAACAGCGAGGCCCTAAGCAACTCAGTGAGACACTGTCTCTAAAATTTTTTTTTTTTTTTAAAGAAGGGGGCTGGGCGTGTGGCTCAGTGGTTAAGTAAGTGGTTCAATCCCTGGTACCAAACAACAACAGAAACCTCTCTTTAGGATTGGGGATGTAGCTCAGTGGTAGAGCATTTGCCTAGCACATGTGAACCCTGGATTTAATTCCCAGAAGTGGGAGATTAAAAAAATGGTCCTCAATTGCCTCTGAAAAAAGGAAGCGCTCACACACCCATAAGCTCTAATAGCCACCTCTCTGTGCCCCCTTAGCTTAAGGCAGCATTAAGGGTTGCCGGCTCTTTATAGTTATTTTCAGCCTTCATTTACTGAGCTCCAGCTATGGACCAGGCACATGATATAGGCTGTCTCGAGAAAATGGACATTTTTATTTTCATTTTACAGATGAGCAAACTGAGGCTTGCTGAAGTTATTATTTCTCTAAGTCATAAAGCCTGTAAGAGAGACAGGTGAGATCTGAGCCCATGACCATCATGTTCTTCTTGGTTGATGCCATTCCCCCCCACCCACTTCCCTGGGAGGAGTCAGGTCACATCAACCCCTTGCCCAGGCTCCCGCTGGCTTCTCCATTGCTCTGTTTAATCTGGACTGATCAGAAATGACAGGAGAAACAAAGGTCCGGGAACAGATTTACTGCAGAAAATAAAGCCAGCCGATTATGGCTGTGGCCTCAGCATCTTGAAGTGACAGAGAGAATAGATGGGCTGGTGGAAAACGGTATCAAGTCCCCTAGGAAACGTAAGTCACATGGAGAAGAAGAAAGGGCCCTGGATCTTCAGGAGCCCCATGGGCTGTGTGAGCATCCAGCTGTGGCTGGAAATGTCACTGTGCCAGGGAGGAGGCCATGGCATCCGTGGTCCCTAAGTCCTGGACTCCAAGGGCCCAGCTGGAGTAGCTGCCTAGCCTGTCCCATCGATGCAGCTGGCAAGGCTCTGCCCCAGGATGCAGCAGGGTCCAGGACCCATAGAGGTGCCAATGACATCATAGCTCCATTGTTCCCCTAAAAGGCTGGCCCAGCACCTCAGGGACTCCAGGGTCAGTGCTCAGTGAGAAAGACAGGAAGCAGCCAAGGGAAGGTGATAGGGCAGGAAGCCAGGAAGGACTGCTCCTCAATCTGCATATGAACACAGGGAAAGGATGGTGGCTCTTAGCCCAGCAGGCCTGCCTGTCCTCCCTCCCAGCTGCTGTCACTCTGAGCTGTGCATCCTTGGGTAAGTTCCTCAACCTCCCTGGGCTTTGTTTTCCTTGTTTGTAAAGGGGGACAATAGTAGGAAAAAGGTCTATCACATATTGAGCCAGGCCTTTAGGCCAGGTGTACATCTGAGGATGTCGTGTATATAGACAGAGCATGGCATCTTGACAACATTTTTCAGAGGAGGAAACTGAGGCACAGAGGAGAATGACTTGCATGAGACCAACAGATAGGTTGGAGAATAAGTGGAGGCAGGTCTAACTCCAAGGCCTGTGCTTTTATAATAAAGGAATTAAGGGAAATAATGGGTTTGTAAACAAGGCTGGCCTAGAGTAAGGTCTAAGTTAATGGGAGCTATTGCTGCTGCTGCTATTATTAATACTATTATTCATATCATTGTCCATTCTCAGAGCCAGGCAGGTGCTGTGTGTTGGTGGGGCACAAAGATTGCCAGTCTCAGGGACTTTACAATTTGTTTGGAGATAAGATTAAGACCCATAAAACATCTAAGCATGGTGGCTCACACCTATAATCCAAGCAATTTGGGAGACTGAGGCAGGGGAATTGCAAGTTCAAAGCCAGCCTCAGCAACTTAGTGAGACCCTAAGCAATTTAGTGAGACTCGGTCTCAAAATAAAAAATAAAAAGGGTTAGGGATGTGTTCAGTGGTTAAACAACCCTGGGTTCAATCCCTGGCTCCCCAAACAAAAAAAGAACCCAAAAACAGAAGTGCAAAATATCAGAGAGGAAATAATCACGAAAGGACAAAATAACTTTGTTGTTTTTTTTTTTAAACTTAAGGAATCAGGAATGTTCATCCATGAAAAAAAACCCCAGCACTTTGAGAGGCTGAGCACAGGCTGCAGAATGAGACTGCGATCTGGCCCCATTTACCCCACGCTGGTTAGTGTGGGCCTCAGTCACCTTATCTGAGGCATGGGATAATGGTACTCAGTTCCAGACCTGTTGGGAGGTTGAACTGAGCCCATTAGCAAATTAAGAATGATCTGTGGTGCCCATTCCATGAAGATCGGACAGAGGGACTTGAGGAGGTCTAGCAACAGAAGGTTAGGAAGTGCCCACTCCCCAACAGATCCAGCAGTGACGAGGACCAGTCCAGGAGGCACGGGATAGAGAAGAGAAGGTAAAGAGGACAGAAGAGCGGCCATGAGGTGGTGCATACCTGGGGAGGTTGAGGCAGGAGGATTACAAGTTTGAGGCCAGCATCAGCAACTTAACAAGACCCTGTCTCAAATAAAAATTAAGAAGGGCTGAAGTCTAGTTCCGTGGCAGAGCACCCCTGGATTCAATCTCCTGTAACACACACACACACACACACACACACACACACAAGGCAAAAGAGCAGTGGACGGAGAAGGTGCTGAGGATGGAGGAGAAGGCAAGGAGTGTGGCCTGGCACACAGCCCTCTCTTTTCTCCCAGCTACCAGCGTGACTCATCCTGGGGCTCCATCCCCACAGAGCCCCTGACAGCGCTGCCTTCCGAAGCCTGTGCTGTAATCAACATTTATTTTGCAGTCACCCACACACCCAACTTGAGTCCGGATTTATGCCAAGAGAGGAGTAAAGAATGTCTTTCTCATTCACGTAATGCCTCCATGGATCTCCGGGGGGAGGGACAGCTGGTGCAACACTGTGGCTGATAGTGTACACATGCAGACGTCAGCCACACGCGGCCATCCACACAGGCTATAATCAGTGGCTGGCAGGAGCAACTTGCAAAGACATTCCTTCCTTGGTCACCTAGAAGATGGCACTTTCACGCAGTAAGCAGAGGGGGTAGGACCCATGCAAGGGATGGAAGCACATGTACCTGCACTTGACCCTGAAATCTAGCTGGGGAAGGAACATGCATGCATGAGAGAAGAGGTTCATGGAAGTCAGGAGGAGGAGGGACGTGGAGCCATATTAAGGGGCATCCTTGCCAGGTGCTGCTGGGTCTGCACCTTACCAGGAGTGAAAAAAGGAGGCGGCAAAGGGAGTCTGTCTTCGGGGGGGCTGGAGGAGAGTAGGGCAGGGGTGCCTGGAAAGGACTCTAGCAGGTCCCTGAAGGGCAGGTCTGTGTACCTCAGAGGGGAAGTGCCCAAGGTGTCCAGCTCATTCCAGAGTGGGAACTGGTTTCTTCCTCAATCTGGATCACAAAGGATGACGCTTAGGAGCACGAGGGTGGTGCGGGATGATGGGTAATGGGCCACGTGCTGTCACCAGATGCTGAAATTCAAATGTGCAACCATGTCCTAAATGCCAAAATGATTTTAGCAGAGGTGACTAGTACCAAACAAATGTCTGGCCTTCCCTACGCTGGGTGTGAAGGTTTCCTTGTGGCTTTCCCTATTGTGGGGTCACAGCGTTTTCAGGGCAACCCATGGGATATGGGGTGGAAGCTCCTGGCTCAGGGCAACTGGGGGCTCTAGAGTCAGCTTGGCGCTTCCTGGCTGTGCAATCTTGGGCAAAATGCTTCATCTCTCAGAGCCTCCGTTTTCTCAACCATAAAATAGGGAGAGCAGCTGCTTCTCCCACAGGATGGTGGGAAGATTAAATAAGATAATGCAAATGAATGGCCTGCGAGTTGGCGTTTGAGAAATGGCCACTCCTAGCTTTTACCATCACAATATATGTACAACATACAATATGAATCACCTAGGGACCCAAATATTAGCATATTCTTATCCCCCTCCCCCAGTCATACTGGGGATTGAACCCAGGGGAGCTCTACCCTTAGAACCACACCTCCAGCCCTTTTTACTTTTCATTTTGAGACAGGGTCTTGCTAAGTTGCTGAGGCTGGCCTCAAACCTGCCATCCTCCTGCCTCAGCCTCATAAGTCCGTGGGATTCAAGGTGTGTGCCACCATGCCTGGCTTTGGCATACTATACTCATAAGATCACTGAAAAGATCTAAATTTCATGGTAAGAGGATAAACATGTGGAAAAAGTAACCAAACCAAATACAAGGAAGGACAGAGATGGTGGAAACAAACTCCAGCTCACAAAAGGTTCAAGCTCCAGTTCTGGGCCCACAAGGGAGGTTGCCAGGGGACTGATGGTCCCCTAAATAGTGCCTATGAGACCCCTTTGCCCCCTGGGAAAGATGGGAAGGCACAGGTGCTGTCTCTTTTCTGAAATTTCACAACTCTTCCAGGCTCAAAGCTCAAAAGGCCACATTCCTACATGAATTATGAAATACAACTCTCCTCACCAGAGTGGATGTCTTTCCGGGATCACTGGGTCTCAGTCTTACTGCCAGCTAGGATCACCTGCCCCTCTGCAAACACAGCCCAGACAGGTCACAGGACAAAGGGCAGGGTCCAAGAGGAGACCCACACCCCTGTGCTGGCCCTGACTCTGGAAAACAAAAAGCCCAGGAAGTTTCTTGTGTGAAAAATCACCCACACTCAACTTGTAAACAGGCAGGAGCAAGGACAGGCTGGGCAGTGTCCTGCGTAAAAGCACTCAGAGCCCTGGCTCTGGCTCTGGTTTGGTTGGTGGACTTCCTCCTCCCAGGATCCCCAGCTCTGGATGCCAAACTGCAGGAGGAAACACAAGTTCTTCTGGAACTGACAGCCAGGTCGAGCAGGGGAATAAGCACACCTACTCACCCAGGCACAGCCCTCTACAGCTTACAAAGCCATTCCCAGACATGATGTCACTGAATTCTCCCTATCAGGTTCTGCACCAGCCCCTACAAATGAGCAAAGCATAGGTGGGCTCTCTTTTTTTTTTTTCTTTTTGGTACCTGGGATTGAACCCAGGGGTGCTTAATTGCTGAGCCACATCCCCAAGCCCCCCTTTATTAAATATTTTATTTAGAGACAGGGTCTTGCTAAGTTGCTCAGCGCCTTTCCAAGTTGTTGAGGCTGGTTTGAAGTCATGATCCTCCTGCCTCAGCCTCCCAGGCTGCTAGGATTGTAGGAGTGTGCCACTGTGATCAGTGGTTCTTTTTCTTTTTAATTTTTTTGGTACTGGGGATTGAACCCAGGGGCAATTAACCATGAGCCACATCTGTAGCCCTTTATATTTTGAGACACGGTCTTGCTAAGTTGCTCTGGGCCTCTCCAAGTTGCTGAGGCTGGCTTTGAACTTGTGATCCTCCTGCCTCAGCCTCCTGAGCCGCTGGGATTACAGTTGTATGCCACCATGCTCAGCCCTGTATGGGTGCTTATCCCTGATGGCAAAATCCTGATGCTAGTGGCAGCCGGCTGGCCGGCTGCCCTGAGTTACAGTGCCAGCCTGGGCCAGCTCTAAGTGCATTCTCTCAATCTAGACGGTGTTCTGTGGTTGGTATTAGCAACATCACCCTGTTTTACAACTGTGCAAACTGGGGCGTGGAAAGGTTAAGAGCTGCTTTAAGAACATCGCTCCATCTAAGCATGGTTCTTGAGCGCTTGGTGACTGCTTCCAGAAATGAGGGCCGCCTTTAAATTTTTTTTTTTTTTTTAGCTGGTCTCAAACTCCTGGCTCAAGTGATCTTCCTGCCTCAGCCTCCCCTACTCGGTAGCTGGGATCATAGGCACAGACCACCGTGCCTGCTTTAGAATCTTAAAGAGCCCTTTGACAATGCTGTTAGTCAGAGCAGGGCTGATACAGTGTGTCTGTGAGGCTGAGAGATACATTTGGACCAAAGGTTCCACATCCAACCACAGACTGAAAATATTCAGGACAGAAAAAATGTCACATTGCCACTAATGTGGACTATGTAGTTAGGCCTTGATGGCTACATCTGTAGTGAATATGTACACTTTTTTGTCATTGTCCCCTAAACAATTCAGTTTCACACCTGTTTACATAGCATTAATACTATATTTGGTATTATAAGTAATCTAGAGATGATTTAACATACATGGGAGACCGCGCGTAGGGTAAATGCAAAGATGTCACTTTGCATAAGGGACTTGAGCATCTGCAGATTTTGATATCCATGGGTGTGGGTCCTGGAACCAATCCTAGCAGATACCAAGAGATGACTATAATAATAACTTTAAAAACAGGTTGCCAAGCTCTGGTTTAGAGTCCAGATTCTGGAGTCTGAAGGCTAAGTGCACCTCACCCCATGGCTAGTTCTCCTTACTAAAGTGGGGGCAGCACCAAGAGCACCTGTCTTACCAGTCAAAATACGTAAAGTGCTGAGCGCAGAACCTGGCGCCAGTGTTTGCTACTATTATTAGCATTGGCAACTCGCCTGGGGCCACCCAGCCAGATCCTGGAGAAGCCAATTCCTTGATGCCAGTTCTTAAAGGGGAACTGACGTCTAGGTCCCCCGTCACTGGGGAAACTGGGGCCTCAGAAACACAACTGTCTCCAAAGCCTGTTTATAAATGCAGCTCCTGGTTGCCCTGCTCCCCTTTCATCTCCAGGCCAGGGTGCTGCTGGGTAGGTACCTGTCATGGGGTGTCAGGAAATGTTCTTGCCCAAACCGGAATAACCTGAAAGCAGCCAGGTCAGCCCCGGCAGGTTCTAGGTCTGCCAGCAGGTGTCCTGAGAAGCAGGCAGAGCCAGGGAGAGCAGTGGTGTCCTCCTACCAGGTCTCTTACCCTGAGGTCCACCTGGGGATACACTGCAGGGGGGTGGTGCCTGCCCCCAGCCACCTCCATTTTTCCCTGGAACACAGATCCCCAATGTCCCTACAGACACACTTGGCTATCTTTACCCATGGCTCACCTTATCTCAGTCACCTAGACCCAAAGAGCTCACAGCCTTCTTCCTAGTGTTTGAGACCCAGGCCTTCCTCTTGGGAAGCATGTGTTATCTTTGGAACTTGCACATAGTAGGTATGCTACACAGTCTCCTGATGAGCCCTCCAGGAGTTCAGATCTGTCTTCAGCATTTGGTTGACATTCTTCCTTCATGCAGGCCTGGTCTCCATGGACTGGCTGCCTATTTGTCCTCTCTGCTATCTGGTGTAGTCACTGTGCCTGTCTTCCATGGGGAGGATATGGCCCCATTCCCTGGACGACTCGGGGGCAGGACAGGGCCCTTCTTTATATGAGGCATTAAAATCCACACAGCACTTCACTGTGCACTGCACTGACTCTGTTCTACATCTGCTAAAGACAAATTCCATTCACACCTCAATACACACTCATAAAGCACCTACTATGGGCCAGGCATGTGCTGGGTGTGGAAGAGGAAGGACTCATGGGATGGTCCCTGTTAGGCCTGACACCCTGGTGTAGAGCCTTCACTTGACATCACAGGCTACTTGTATCCCAGGGCTCCTTACTCCAGCAGAGATCCCTTTTTTGGGGACCCTGGCAATCTCAGTTAAGGTCCCACTCACTTTCCCCCCTGTGAACCTGGGGGACCCAAAGCATGCAGCCTGGGTGCTTTCTTCTATGCTCTGAAACAGGCAGGCTCCTCCTGGAGAGTCCAGGCCTGTCCTCCTCCAGGCCCGCTTCCCTGTCCTAGTCTCAGTTAACTCTGTTCCACTCACACCTCTTCCCTCTCAGGTGTCTTCTGGAGGCCCTCTCTCCAGCCTCTGAATAGGGGCTCAAGCCCCGCATCTTCCATCGCCTCCTTGACCCCTGCTTTATGACATCTGTCTCCTCCCCCAGAGCTAAGCTGTCCTCTGGAAGGTTGCTACCCTTTGCCAAACACGGAGGCTTTGAGTCAGGCCTCCTTCTGACCTGGCAGCAGCTTTACTGACCTTCTCTCTGCTCACAGACTACTCTGCATCACCCCTTCCCGTGGCCCATTTGGCCCCCTGCATCCCTGTGGCCTGGGGCTCAGACCTTGCCTCTAGGCAATGGTATTCTGCCTGGCAAACCAGGATGGCATCATTCTCGTAGGAATTCAGAGAGATGACAACATAATCCTTGGTGCTACAGTAAACGGGTGATTACCAGAGCAAGTCGGTGGCTACAATGTAAATTTCAGATGGGGTTCAAAGGGAGGTGTGATTAATTCTACATGGGGAGTCAAAAGGGGAAGTGTTGCCAGAGCAGGGTTTTGTAGGTTGTGGAGGAGTTCAGCAGGTAATCTAACAAGAGAAGAACAACGGAAAAGTATGGAGATGTGATGAAGCACAGGGGCTTCAACATACCCTGAAGCTGGGGGAAGTGGCACATGCTTGTAATACCAGCTACTTAGCAGGATCCTCAGCTGAGGCAGGAAGATTGCAAGTTCGAGGCCAGCCTGGACAACTCAGAACTCTGTCTGAAAATAAAAAATAAAAAGGGCTAGGGCCAGGCACAATAGTACATGCCTGTAATCCCAGTAACTCAGGAGGCTGAGGAGGATCACAGGTTGGAGGTCAGCCTGAGCAACTTATGAGGCCCTCAACAACTTAATGAGACCCGTCTCCAAATAAAAAATAAAAAGGGCTGGAGATATAGCTCAGTGGTATGGCACCTGGGTTCAACCCCCATTACTGTAAAACAAAGAATCGAACCCAAATTCTGAAAGCAGCCAGGGCCACATGGACCACTCAGACCACAGCAAGAGGTGGCTCCTGGGGTTGTATAGGTGGTGGTCCTGCCTGTGGTCCTCTCTACCGACCCTGCATCCAGGAGCAGAGCCAGTGCTTGAGAGAGAAAGTAAATGTGCTCAGCAGGCACAGGCGCACGGCTGATCGACAAGCTCGTCAGCTCTCAGAGGAGGTTCACCCCTACAGGCTTACAGAAAAATAAAGAGGCCCACAAGGAATGAACCAAACTGATCTGTTGATAATTTAGGATCTGTTGATAATTTAGGAAAACCTAAGTGAATGCACTCTGTAGCTCCCAGGTGACATTTAAAAAATCCCTCTGACTAATGCGTGGGACATTTATATCCTTCTCACAAAGGATGTGTCAACACAGCTTGCCAACCCAGAGGTGGCAGGTCATTTATTTGGCAAGGGCCACCTAGCTTAGGCATCCATCCAATGTGGGGCCAGGGGGTGGGGGGCACCCCTGATAACTGCCATGCCTGTGTCAATTGCCTTCTTCCTCACACTCAGCCCCTGCATGATATTCTCACCACCTCTTCCAAGGCCTCCCAGGTTCCACAGAGGGAGGTTTTGGGGATCTGTGTCCATCTCTGACCAGCATCTCAATATCAACCCCATCTCAGGTCAGGTAGAAATGGAGTCGTCCCAGGACCACATCTGTCTCCTGCAGCCAACTCTCCTGGCTCAGTGATTCAGGGCTCCTCATCTGTGATTAACAGGTGCCTCCTGTCTGGTGGAGACTCTTTCTCAACACCATGTCCCCTCAAAGCAGGGGCAAAAGGAAAACAGCATCTTGCACAGGGAGGTTTTGCATGCTTAGAGCAACAAGCAACAGAGAAAACACACTCACATTCTCCCTTCCTCAAATAAACCGACTTCTCCACTCGTCCCTTCCCTTGAAAACAGAAGCACTATTCAAAAGGAAAAAGAAGAAAGGAATTAAAAAAAAGAACTGAATAGGAGAAGAAGAAGAAAAGGGAGGAAAAAAGAGAGCGAGAAGAGAGCTATCCCCGAGGGAGGTGGCAAGAGCTCAGAATGAAGGAAAGGAGAGCAGAGACACAAAGGGTGGGGAGAGAAAGACAGAAGCTTTGAAAGAAAGAATGTTCCAGCGTGAATGCAGCGTGCAGGGGAGAGAAGCGCGCTTGAAAAGGAGCAGCCCGATGCGGTGACCCCTCATTCACACAAGGTGCCAATCATGGTGACAATGCAAAGCCTTTCTTCTTTTCTACTTCTCTCCTTTCTGGGGAGGGAAAGGCTGAGAACTGCAAGTTAATTTCTAAAAGTACCCCCCAAAATAAATAAATAAATTCGATTCCACTGGCGAAACATCAAAGAGCTGCTGTAAAGGCTTCCCTGAAACTCATGACACCCCCCAAGAGAAGAGCTCCCTCCCCAGGGGCAGCTCAGGCCAGGCGGCCATCAGCTTTATTTCAGGGTCAGCAGCCACTGCCCTAGGCCCGGCCACCTGGCTGTGGTCACCTCACATAAGGTCCCTGGTGAGTGAGGTTGAGAGAGCCCTGGTCTCAGGGGCAGCTTTGCCCTCTGAGTGTCTGAGAGTCCTGGGAGGAGCTCACGGGAGGAGGGCCTGAGTTGGACAGCGGGGTTCTGGCTACAGGAGGAAGTCTCAGAGACTCACTCCACCTGGGCCGTGTCTGCCTGGTCACCTGCTACAGGATTCTCAGGGAGATGCTGGGTCCCAGGTGAAAATGCATAGAATGAAAGACATCCTGAATCAGCCCTGGGATCAGCGTCCATTTGAGGGAGCTGCTCCAGGAGTCTGGCTGCCTGGTTCCAGGAGGGTGAGAGGGTGGCTTAGTTCTTTCTGCTGGCTGCCAAATGTCAGGTCACTGTTCTCAGAGGGAAGGGCCTCTGTGGACACTGAGGCTTGTTTTCACATCATGGATGATTCTAGACCAGCACTTTTCTGTAACCCAAGACCCCAAAACTGCAAGAAATACAGGTGGCCCAGCCCTGGATTTGGACTGCCTCTCCTTCCTGCAGCAGGGCATTGTTACACACAGGATGCTGCCTGGCTGGTACTAAGCTCCAGGGTAACACAGCCCTCAGTCCAATGACCAAATTTCTCCCAATATCTCTCTGAGATGGTGAGGGAACGTCCCTGGTGCCCCTCCTTTCTTTGTCTTGCTCCTCCTGTCTTTCAGGATCCAGTGAGTCATGACAAAACCTGAAATAGGGTCACCTTTACACAGAGGTTGCTTTTTCCTTCTGATCATCCAAATGCTGGATAATGAGAAATGCCTGGGAGCAGAGAGGCTGCGGGAGGAAGACTGATTGGTTTATTGATGGATTGATTGAGGGAGTCTGAGCCTTCCTCATCTATTGAGCACTCAGTCTGTGCTGTGCTCAGTGGCGGGGCTGGGATTACCAAGTGAGGAGGACCAATGGGGCCCAGAGATGCTTGAGACCACTCCAGTGGGCGGGGGGCAAACTGGATCAGGGAAAGAAGGCCCTGCCATTGCTATCATCATGAGAAAAGACTGTTACTAAGTTGGAACTGGTCCCCAAAGGGCCTCAAAACTCGATGAGGAAGCTTGAGAGAAGGGGCATGTGGTAGATAGAGGAGCACAGGGACAGAAACTTAGTGGAACCACCACAAGCCTATAATCATACTTTCCCCCTTTAGTACTGGAGACTGGACCCAGAGGTGCTTTACCACTGAGCTATATCCCCAGCCCTTTTAATTTTTTGAGACAGGGTCTCACTAAGTTGCCGAGGGTGCTCCTCCTGCCTCAGTCTCCTGAATTGCTGTGGATGTGTGCCACTGTGCGCAGCACTGAGCCTACGATCACTCTTGCATTTCAATATGACATATGCAAATGCCAGCAAATATTTATTGAGTACCTACTCTATGCCAGGCAGCTCCTGTGTATTCCTAGGGTGATAGTAGTAACATGACACAACCCTGACCTCCAAAACTTATGGCATAGGAAAAGCAATAGGCAAGAAAGCAAGCAATTACAATTCAGTGTGAAAAGGGCTGTGTCAGAACAGGAAGGGACTGTAGGAGCCCAAAGGAGGGGCAGCTTAGGGGAGGCAGGGTGTCAGGGAAGCATTTTCAGAGGAAGTTGTGTGGAGTTATTTTAAAAAGTTATTTAAAAAGCTGTGGCCTAGTAGTATAGCACTTGCCTAGCATGCACCAGGCCCTGGATTCAATCCTCAACACTGCCAAAACAAACAAAATAATAATAATAAAGTAATAATAATATTACAGAGCACTTGCTGGACATGATGACACACGCCTGTAATTCCAGAGACTTGGCAGGCTGCAGCAGGGGAATTCCAACTTCAAGGTCAGCCTCAGTAACTTCACAAGACCCTCAGCAACTTACTAGACTCTGACTCAAAATAAAAAATAAGGAATTGGGACTGTGGCTCAGTGGCAAAGCACTTGCCTTGCACATCTGAGGCACTGGGTTCAAACCTCAGCACCATATAAAAATAAATAAATAAATAAAGGTATAAAAATAAATAAAAAATAAAAAGGGATGAGGGTTAAGCTCAGTAGTAGAGCCTCTCAGCTTCAATCCCCCCAAAATTCATTTTGAAAAAGATTTAAAGAAGTTTGCTAGCAAGATATCCCAGTACCTAAGAAAAAATGGAACTGATGAAGTGATATATATAGAACAACTGATTGATGTTTTCCCAACCTGTTAGTGTACTGGGAGGAATCAGAGATAGGCAGAGAGCAAAGTAATCTGGTGAGAACAGCAGAGACAATAATTAACTCTTTTTTTTATATAAGTAATCATAGCTCAGTGCTAGCCTCAGCAGTGAACAGTATTTATACTGCGGACTTAAACCCCAAATTGTGATTTAATGATATTAGTAAGAGAGGGGAAATGATAGGGTGGCGGAAAGAGAAATTCCCACCTAAGAGAACATGGAAGCAACAGATAATGTCCAAAGTTGGTAAATCAAGTAGTAGGAGAAACATAATTCTTTCAAAATGTGGAGATGAATGACAGAAAGGAGGAACTAAAGGAATTGAAAAAGATTAACTAGTCTGGAGGGCTGGTGACAGGGAAGCGAGGTAGGGTGGGGCCTGCTGCTTTGTCACTATAAACCCATCAGCGTTGTGTGATGTAAAAAAAAAGATGCACATGTATTACTTTGATAAGAAAGGAAAAAAAGCAAGCAAACAAGAATTCAAAAAAAGGTTTGTAAAGGAGTCACTGTTAAGTCAAATCAAGATCACTCTGAACTCCCTGGGGTACTGAACTGAGAAACAAGAAGGGTACCAGGCTTATGAATTTATGAGAACAGAACTTTCTTCAACAGAGGACAGAATGCAGGAAGCTTCTGCCCAAGGTAACACAACTAGGCAGGCTAGACTAGGGACCATAGCACCCAAGGGAGAAGCCTGCAGGTATTTCATTTGTTTTGCAGTGGTGGGGACTGAACCCAGGGGCTCACTGGTGTTTGGTGAGCACTCTACCACTGAATGACACCCCCAGCCCTTTAAAAAATATTTTTTATTTTCAGACAGGGTCTCCCTGAGTTGCCCAGGCTGGCCTTGAACTTATGGCTCTCTAGGTAAGTGGCTATAACAAGATGATGGCACTAAGGACACTTCCCTGGAAGACTGGGACATCCAAAGACCAGTGGTCCTTGCCACTGGCTCTCATTCAGGTGGCTAGATCCTCAGGAATACTGAGGCGTGGGTATTAATAACACAGCTGACTTCTGCATGCTGATCTACTCACAGGGGAGGCCGGTGGTCACAGTGCACAGGCCTGAGGTCTGAGCCTCCTCAGCAGCCCCAACCTGGCATGGTCACTCAGCATTGTGACCACCATGCACAAAATGCCCTGGTGCTCTGGCCCTTGCATTCATACACACACACACACACACACACAGACTGTTTTGCTCATTAGCCACTTCTGCTATATATGCAGTTTTCCTTCCGGAATCCCCAAATTCCCTCAAAAGAATGAGAATTGCAGAGGGCCTGGTGTGGTGGTGTTTGACTGTAATTCCAGCTACTCAGGAGGCTGAGGTGGGAGGATCACAAGTTTGAGACTAGCCTGGACAACCTAGAAAGACCCTATCTCAAAATAAAAAAATAAAAAGTACTGGGGATATAGATCAGTGGTAGAATGTGGTTGGATTCAATCCCCAGTTAACTTCCCCTAAATCCTCCAAAAAGAACTGCAGAACATACCAAAAACCCCAGGAAGCTCACATGTGGGGGCCTTGATAAGGCCCTTCAATATCCCATGCCCTTTCCCTTTCATGGGACACAGCCCATGGCTTGGAGCCTTGGGAATCAGTTCTAACAAGGGTGGCTGACTGGCTTCCTGGACCCCAGCAGATGCAAGTTACAAATCAGAGGGAGGGGCAGGGAGGTGAAAGAGGCATGACAGTTGGTGGCCTTTGCAGGGGTATACAGATGAAAAATGACTGAATGGCAGTCTGGGGCCATTCAGGGTAGAACAGAGAGCACCACCACTATGGTGCCTTGGTTCAGTACCCAAAGCTCATGACCATGCCCTGGGTAATGAAAGAGGGGTTACACTTTAATACATTATATTCAGTATCTTTAGGCTTGGGAGTGCAATGGATCCTGGGCTGAGGTATAGTGAGACCACCTTACAACGTCTCCTGGCCAGGGGCAACTCTGCCCAATCTCCCAGCTGCTACTGTAGAGCTCCCACAGTATGTCACGGGGCTGGGACCTAGTCTACTTCTGCCTGGGCATCACCTCAAAAGCCCAGAATCCCATGAAATGAAGAGATCACCTGCCCAACCAGTCAGGCTTGATGTGGATCAAGTGAAATAATCTTTATAGTCAGTTGGGACATTTTATAAATATAATGTTTCTAAAGATGGACAGGACATTCCATGACTCATACAGGGGCAGGGAACAAAGGACATATACCTCTAACTATAAATACCTTGTGCCTTAGGACTTTCTTGGACACAATGAAGCAATTTTCAGGTGAGAGTTTCAAAACTATGCAAACTTAACCTGAATGTATTCAATCAGACGAATCTAGAATGCATTCTATGGACAGCTAGCTCAATGGGCTCTTCAAAGCCAATGTCACAGAGACCAAAGTTGGGTGACTGTTCTGTTAAAAGAAGCTAAAGCAACATAACCAAATGTAGTGTATGAGGCTTGCTGGGTCAGGAAAAAAATCCATAAAAGACATGTGGAGGACAACTGGGGAAATTTACATAGGACGTACATTGGATAACATCATTGAACAGCGGTAATTTTTTAGGTGTAACGACAACACTGTGGCTACATAAGGGGAAATCCTTGCTCCTGGAAGACACCTGCTGAAATACTCAGGGTGAAGCATCAGGCCATCTGCAACACCCTTTCCAATGACTCAGCAGAGCCATTCGACGGACAGTGAGGGAAAGGGTACGTGGCCAAATGGTAACCGTGGGTGAGTCCAGATGAAGGTTCTTCATTTTTCTGTCAAGTTTGACAATTTCAAAATAAAACATCAGAAGGAAACAAACCATGCGGGCGGGCTGTGACTTGTTCCTAGTCTGCTGGGCCAACCTTTAGCTCTTCCCCACCCTGCCCACTGCAGCCAGCAATGTCAGCGAAGAGGGGCGGCTGACCGCGGTGCTCTCAATCCGCACAGTACACATAGAAAATACTGTTTGGATTGCCTGCTGGGGCAAACGGCAAGGCTGTTCAGGCCAGCCGTGGGCACCAGCTGCCCTGGGCCCGCCCAGCCCAGCTGCTGCGAACAGAGGGGAAATCACCATGTGGGCACAGCTTGTGGCTCTGGTGTTCAGCTCAGTATGCTGGCTGGACAGCCAGGCCTGTTGGGTGGACCCCAGATCCTCAGATGTCTCTTTGCTTCCTCACTGAGCCTTCCCTAGGGAAGTTCATCTCTTTTCTTTCAGGTCTTGTGTCTTAGAGCCTTGATAGCTTAGAGTCCATATTTTAACCCTGTGACTGGGCCCATTCCCACCATAAGATCCTGAGTTCCTTGAAGGCAGGAGCCATGAACCACATGTGGGAGCTTATTTCACTTTAACAGTTCAGTTCAGCCTTCATCCCATGTTAGTCAGGTGGTAGCAAAGGCCAAGCTTTCTTCCCAGAGGTGGTGACTTGCAGGTCATCAGATTTCAGTTTTCCTTTCAGAATAGGGGCCCTTTCGGCTGTATATCGAGACCCATCTCTGTTTAGTGCTTCCCTAGTTTCTTCTGCCCAGGGGTCCAGGGCTGACTGAGCAAGGCTGCCTTCCCATCAGTAGAGGAAAGTCCCAGGGCATTCCAGCCGTGGGCAAGACCAGCAGCCAACTCTGGCCACCCTCCCAAAGTGCTTAGGGGGGATTCCTGGCATCTGTGGCCCCTGGAGAGCAAATGCAAACACCTAGGCTGGGCCCACCCCCAGACACCAGTAATTTTAAAAGCTCTTCAAGTAATTGAATGAGCAGCAGGGTTGAGAGGCTCACCTCTTCTCCCAAGGAGCTTGGTCTGCCAATCTGAGCCAGGCATTTAACCCATCCCACTTCCCTTCCATGCCATTCCTGGCTTCCCACCTTAGCCTTCCCCTTGAGCTACCCGTGCTCCTTAGGTACCCTTGCACTCTTGCCTCCTCCTCTCTGTCTTCCTGGAACACCCTGCATTCTTCAAGGTGTGGTTCAAGTGCCTCTTCAGCAACCCAAGCCACCTCATCCAGAGAGTTCCTGATGTGTTGTTAGAGATGGGGTCACTGAGGCAGGCAGCATCACTAAGGCCAACCAGAAAGTCTTAGGCAATGGAGTCACGTGGAGTTTCAAAGATTCTTCTTGTTGCCACATGGACAAGGTGAAGGGAGGCCAGAGAGATCTCTTAGGCTTACCTATTTAACCTTTTAACATACCTTTTTCCACCCCCAGCTTGAAGTCTATCTACATGGAGGCTAATGTCCCTGCCTAGGTCTGTTGAGTCCCCAGGGCTCGTGGAGTGTCACCAAAGAATGGAGCAGGCTTTCTTTCCACTGTGGCCTGTGGGACTGATAGCTCAATGTGGGGAGGAGGTAGTAAGTAACAAATGGTAACAATGAGCATTCATCCCAGGGGTCTGTGGGCAGAGTCAGAGGCCACTGGAGGAATGTCCCTTTGTGGGGAAGACACTCAAGCCATTTCAGAGACGGGCTTTGGAACCTAAGGAGCTCTAGCCTGGTGTCATTCAAAGGAACATTAAAATCAAATGGTGGGGCTGGGGATATGGCTCAGTTGGTAGAATGTTTGCCTCCCATACACAAGGCCCTGGGTTCAATCCCCAGCACCACAGGAGCGGGGGGCGGGGGGGATCAAGTGGCACCAAATGAATGGGTGGGAAATGTTACACAGCAATCTGGTGAGGGGTTTTCCTCAAGATAAAAGCAATGGAAAGAGGAAGAGAGAAACAGAGGGGGAGGAAGGAGGAATGGGAGGCCGGAGGGAGTCTCAAAGCTTCCTGAGTTTACAAAGAATGGGAGAAACCAGGTAGAGAAGAACAAAAAAAGGTTAAAGTTCTTTTCCCTTGGAAGTGGGAGCCATGCTAGCCTTGAGGAAAGTGCTGGTGTGGTGTGTGGGACAGCGTGTCTCAAGAACCAGCAGCGGCTCTGGATGTCAAGTCCCTCTTCAACCAGAGAGAGGCCCAGCTTGGCTCCCCACGGCAGCTCCACGACTTCACAAGGCTGGGAAACCTCGATGTCAGGCCTGCCTCAGGGACATGACTGCTGCCGCCCAGGGCCTCAAGCCTAGAAGGGCCCACGCTTGGCCCATGCTCTGCTGTCCTGAAATTCTTACTAATTTCCACACACAGGGCCTGCCTTTTCATTTTGCACCTGATCCTGAAAATTAAGTCCTGGCTGACCTCTCCAGAGGACATTTTTTGCTAGCAAAGTGGAAGGAAGAAGGCAGTGGGCTGGCCCATGCTGCTGCTTGCTGTTTACTATCCAAACACACCTCCCCATGTTGTTGACTCAGCCACCAGGTACTAAGAAGGGCAGCCCCCCGCCCCCATACACACACTGGCTGAAGAGCCAGGTCTGCTTCTGCCGAGATACCTAAACAGCGTGTGTGTGTGTGTGTGTGTGTGTGTGTGCGTGAATTCTATTGGATGCTGAATTCTACTGGATGCTGAATTCTATTGGATGCTAGGCAAAAATGGTCCTGACCTGCCCCTGCACATGAGATGCATGGGTTGTGCTGAGGCGGAAAGCCAGGCTGCTCACACCCACTTCGTCCTGGGAGACCTGCCTTGCATGGTTAGCTCACAGCAGAGGCAGCGTGCCTGTCCACATCCTGAGCTGATGGACTCGTCTGCTCAGAGCAGAGATGTCTGCTGAGCTGGGGCAGGAAGCCACAGCTCATCACTGGCACTCTGCAACCTGAGTGCTATGGTGTTTGAGGCCAAGACCACAGCTTCATCTTGGCCTCCACACCAATTATCAGGACTATGAGGTGGTCGCCGAGTCTCCATGTGAAGTGGAGGGGCAAATGCAGTCAAGTGCCATGGCTGGGGGCCTGGACCCAACCCAGACTTTCCCCTCCCCCAGAAGTGTTCCCTTTTCTTTTTCTTCTTCCTCCTCCTCCTCCTTCTTCTTTTCTTTCTTTTTTGGCACTGGGGACTGAAACCAGAGGCGCTTTACCACTGAGCTACATCCCTAGCCCTTTTTAAAAACTTTGAGACAGGGTCTTGCTAAGTTGCTGAGGATGGTCTTAAACTTGCAATTCTCCTGTCTCAGCCACTCCGGTTGCTGGGATTACAGACATATGCCACTGTGCCCAACAGTGCTCCCCTTTTCTGCCTGGTCCTTCAAAGGCCAATATACAGGCCAGGAACCTCATTCTCTTGTCAGAACCTCCCTTCAGAAGACAGAAGGCAGGGGGCTGGGAATGTGGCTCAGTGGTAGAGCTTGCCTAGCATGTGCAAGGCCCTGGGTTCTATTCCTATCCCCAGCACCCCTCTCCAACAAAAACCAAAAATCTGAAGATCAAAGGCAGACACCTTCTGAACCCTGCTTCCAACAGGAGAAATCTGGGGGCCCCTGCTACCAGATCCTCTCTGAGCAGGCAGAGGACCCTGACAGCATTGTTTCCATAGGCTTATAACTCAAATGATCCAAATCTCTCAGGGTAACTTGGCAGAGACCTTCAGTCTCTTGCAGGTGCCAGGTGTGCAAAGGAAATGCACCTGTAGGCAAAACTCAGGCAGCTGGAGTCAGGTGCTCCACCCAAGAACAGAACAAAGCTGCGCAGAAAGCCTGCAGACAGTCCTGGGCCCTGCGAGGCAGGGGGTAGGGGTGAGGAGGGCAGGCTAGTGAGGTGGAGGCCGGAGAGGAAGCCCAACCAAGTGCCAGGCTTCCCTGGCTGCCAGGGAGGCCTCCGGGGACTGAGTCAATCAGCAGGAAGCTGATGCTGCTTCCTGACAACCCCACTACCCCCACCACCATCATGAGCACAGGACACACACACTCACTCAGAGGAATTTGGAAACAGAGGGCAGTTGGCAACTTCCTGCAATCTACTTTTTTCAAATAATGTAGACAAAGAACAAAGAATCCCCCCTTTCCTGAGCGTGGGCTGGGTGGGAACCTCTTGTATGTGTTTTCTCATTCAGAGCTCACAAAAGGCTGACTGCCCTTGTGTTTTAAACTCTGAGGTAAGGAGAAGGAAAACCAGTGGCCCAAGGTCACATGGCAGACAGTGCCCCGAGTTTTCAGGCCCAGGCCTGTCAGGGGTCAGAGGCCATCTTGTAAAGCACTCCCTCTGTCCTGGGTTAATAAGTCTCTCCCTCAGGCTCCATGACCAGGGCCAAGGAAGTCTATGGTGTTACAGTGTAAGGGCTGAACATGGTGCAACGGATTTGGGCTAGTAGCCCTGACTACGCAAACGGGTCTGCTGGGACTTGGAGTACCAGTGGAAGAAGAGACTGCGGTCTTTCTTTACCCTCTTTCCACTTTTTTGCGGGGGGAATGTGGTGTGGTGTGTATGTGTGTGTGTGTGTGGGGGGTATTGGTGATTGAACCTAGGGGTGCTCTACAACTGAGTTATATATCCAGCTCTTTTTATTTTTTAATTTTGAAACAGGGTCCTGCTAAGTTGTTGAGGCTGGCCTCAAACTTGGGATCCTCCTGCCTCAGCCTGTGGAGTCACTGGGATTACAGGCATGCATCACCATGCCTGGCTTAAAATGCAGATTTGTTTTTCCTTTGAAATAGAAATTCAAATGTGCCCTTTCCTCATATTTCAAGCGAACTTTTTTTTTTTTTTTTTTTTTTTGAGGTGGTGGGGATTGAACCCAGGGTCCCACACATTCTAAGCAAGCACTCTACCAGTCAGCTATACCCCGAGTCTTTTTTATTTTGAGACAGGGTCTCTCTAAGTTGCTGAGGCTGGCCTTGAACTTGTGACTCTCCTGCCTCCATCTCCCAAGTAGCTAGTATGTACAGGTATGTACCACCGCACACGGCCAACATACCTTAATTTTTTTTTAATTAAAAAAAAATTTATAGCTGTAGATGGACAACA